TCGTTTTTACAGTTGCCGATTGTCAACGATTAAAAAGACGAGGCGCAAGGCGAAATAATAGCATCTCTTCTTCCCAAATTGTCCATTTTTGTTTTCAAGCTGAAGGAAAATCAAGGAGAATCTGCTATGCATATTGAAACTTCGCGCAGTATTTCGACGAAATTTTTGCTACATGATCTTGTATACCCGACGACGTAGAAAACATTTCTTTGTTACCATCGATCTTTCTATCACCGATTGCACAAGCAGAGATCGATCTCCTTACAAACGATCGGACGAGTTGCTTCGCTTATCAGTGTCGCAAAAGGCGAGCACAATCTACGTTTGCGAAAAATCGTCCAAGTTAATATCCGTGTACCTGATGCAGCAATTAATTGTTACCGCGACACGTTCGAGCGAACCGAATTTTATCGGGACCTGACAGGACGATAAGTTTCATCTTTCCGGGTTCGGTTCCACGAACGAAATCGCCTTGATTTTCTGGGATATTCGCGTCGACGATCGAACAGCGATAAATAGACCGCGAATCTTTACGCAAATTCCCATTTTCGTACACGATTCTCGAGAAATCAGAATTAGACAATGATCTTCTTCGTTGACTGAAAGATTCTTCGTTACAAAAATCTGATAAAAGTGCTATCAGTTCTTGCTAATTCTCGCGTTTCCTTGCATTTTACAAATCTGTGCACGTAGCGAAGGTATAAATACCACGATTCAGTGCAACGTAAAGCTGCACTCGCCGTAGCAAAGCGGCTCGACGTTTTTGTCTGCTTCTCCGCGGATATTCCCCGTCGTGCTCTCCAGTTTTCCGGCACGGCGGTTCGGCTCGCTAAGGCAAGAGTAGAAGAAACGCAATTTCAATGCGGTGCTGTTTGACCCAGCTTTAGATTTCCAGCAGACCGAGTGTCCCGCATCGTTCGCATGCGTACGCCGGAAAATCATCTGAAATAGTATACAAATAGACAACTTTCTTGGCAATTGTCTGTTTCGATGGAAAGCCGCGATTCGATCGGATCGTTGCCCGTGTCCCGATATGGGACAAACGGAGAAACAAAATTAGAACAGTTTTGCCGAGGTACGCTTTCATGGAAATGACTTTTCCCGAATACTTTCAAGTTTCTCGCTGAACATTTTTACGCGAGAATTTTGGAATCGAACTCGTCGGAAGTTTCACGGTGTGTCGAATGCAGACGGGAAACATAATCGATGCAGATTATTTCCTGTACAATTCTTGCAATTATTTCCTCGCAAAACAGGCGATGATTCCTTATCGAATGATTGTTATCGTTTCGAATAGATTAACAGATTGATTCCGATTTTCATACTTCCCTCGTATCGAAATGATTGTCCTGTTTGCATAAATTATTTCTATCGAAATGATTGTCCTATTTGCATAAATTATTTCTATCGAAATGATTGTCCTATTTGCATAAGTTATTTCTATCGAAATGATCGTCCCATTTTAAAAAATAATACCTTATACCTGGTGAATCATTAATTTCAAGGTGTAAGCATAATTTATTAAGTACAATATCAGCTGTATGCGTATATAATAAGCATTTGTTTAACGTTTATTTTATATAATAAAAATAAAAGCTTCTATCTCCTTAATTCGATGCGAATTTATCAATCGGACGATCATTTCGATACGGAGGTAGTATTCTATTTTATAACAAGAAATCGGACATTCTTTCTGGTAAAAATACAGGTCAACAAGTTCGCGCCGATTGACATGCTCGGAGCATCGTGGGCGTGCAACAGCGTTCAAAGCAAAAAAGAAAAAAAAAGATCATTCGAATCCTGGTGCACTAAAAGCGAGACGCCGCGCAAGGTCTCGAGAATCGCGTAATTAGACCACAACCGCGCTAATAAGCGTTACTAGCCTAACCGTAGCGAAATCCCTCTAATTAACCATTAATCGTCTCCTAATCATAAAAGCGTTATTTCGTTCGAACGGGACCGAAGCTTCGAACGGTTTCCATAGCGGCAAAGAATTTAATAATTGTGAACAGAGAGGCATGCGAACAATAATTCGCGAAATCACCGCGCGAGAACACTTATCGCTAGCCTAAAAATCCACGCTGCAAGATTCAACTTTCTACAACAAAACCGCTGACACTTCCTTGTGATACGAATTCAACTATTTCAGCGATTATCCCGGCTGAGCCTTTCTATTTTTCGTTTCTATCAATTAGAGTGAAACACGGTATCTTCGGACCGCAAACGATTCCTAAGTTGTTGTCAGCGGTGAAGAAAGAGAGCCGGGCGTTATTCGAATTCTTTTGAATAAATGTTTATTCGAGATAATCATCCGAATGAATTTCTTTCGGTTGGATAGTTTATTCGAACAACGATTATTCATTGTTCGTTATAAATTGTTCTGTCTAGTTT